ACCAGCTCCACGGCACTTAACAACAACAATTTTTATGAAAGTAGACTTCTACATTTTTTCCCTGCAGAGCAGTGTGTAGATCCCCAATGATGCTTAGGTTAGCAACCAAGCACTTAACCACTCCATCACCAGAATTCCTTAGTGAACATTTGTTGTTGTTAAGTGCTGAGATGTTTGTTCAGACTCATAGCAACCCAGTATAGAGTTTCCGAGGAGGTTTGAACCTCTAACTTTGCCATTCGCAGTACAGGGCTTATCCTGGAGCGCCTCACCAGAACTCCTAGTGAGCATTTGCTGTTGTTTTGTTAAGTTCTGTCAAGCCAATTCCTCACAGCAGCTCTGTATATAGGGTCTCTGAGAACTGGTTGGTGGGTTTGAACTGCTGATCTTGCAGTTAGCATTCCAGAGTTTGTTCTACAGCACCACATCTGTTGTAGATACTTTAATATGTTAACTAATTTGATACTGTTATCTTTCTCCATTTTAAAGATTAGAAAACTAAAGTATTAAGAGATTAGATATCTTGTCCAAGAGTGTACACCTACTAAGTAGAGCAGATAAGATTTGATCTCATACAGCCCAGCTGCATTAACTTACAATTTGTGCTATTTTCAAGTACATGACTGCTGTAATGTGTTCAGCTAAAGGACTTGGCCCATTCTATATCACTTTTTCAATTTGACTGTAGAAGAAGGTGGCTTTGACCTGAAACACATAAAGGTTGGGGGTCCAAGAAATGTAATTTCTAGTTCTGCTATTCTGAATCCATCATTCTAGATTGGAGACAATTTAATCAAAGAGACATGCCAATTATCATTTTTTAAATATATAGGTCAAAGGAATGTTCTTCCTTTTTCCTTTCTTCTAAAAATGTGTAATGCAGCACTTGACTGTTGTTGATAAGTGCTGCTGAGGCAATTCCAACTCACAGCTACTCCGGATGGGGTTTCCAAAGAGTGAATGTTGGATTTGAACTGCCAACCTTGTGGTAGAGTGCTTATCCTACAGCGCCACACCAGCACTCGAGTAGCAACGCTTTATGGAAGTAAACTCAGTATTTAAATGGAATGAGGAGAATCTTGCAACACAATGATTGCTTCACACTGCCGTTTTGACATGTGGATGCCCTCATTCCCACCCACCCACCCCTGCCCAGAAACCTGTCCAAGATCATACATCTTTCAAATAGAACCTGTAAGAAAGTGGTCATTGTCTCATTTCTGGCATCACTAATTTCAGCTATTAATGCATGGAATGTGTATATGTGTGCAGGAAAGGGTTGAAAATGTGCTGGAAAAAAAAAGTCTTACTCCATAAAGCTTCAGACCTCCTACCTTAATCTATAAAGTGCAACTTTCATCTAGCCTCCACATCCTCTCTTACTGCTTAAAATATTGCCACTCTTTGATGTGGGATTTTCAGTCACTTATAATAATTTGCTTTCCTATACAGTTTCACATGACCCAAAAAGACTGGAGAATCATCTAAAACACCAAAACTGATAGAAAATTCATAGTGAAGAAGCTTAAATGATAGAAGAGAATTGTTTTTTAATTGCATGGACTGTATTTATTACCTGGTGATACCCAAGTTTATAATTTTTTTTTTCTAATAATTTACTGATTGTTGAGTGAAAAAGCTTTCTTTATGTGGCCAATTTCATTAATTTTAAAGTAAACATTTTGAGTCTAGTAGGTTAACATTGGGCTGAAATTATTAAAACATTATCTTCAGCCCGGTTCGATAATTAAGCTTTAGTGTTATAACTAGTTTTAAAAATAAAATTAGGATATAGAGTGCAGAAATACCAACGGTTAAAAAAAACTCAAACATAAGTATAAATAAAGAGTGAGAAGTATATGAACATTTATCTGTGGGTGGTGGGAACGGGTGATGGTATCAGTGGTGGAAGCCAAGCCCAACTATGGTTTGTTGCTTTCATTGTTTTACAAAGACTCTCAGGTTACAAAGTACTTCAAAAATTAAGATTGATTGTGCACATTGATTTAATTCAGTGGTTCTCAATAATAAGATCATGTAAGGAGCTTTAGGAGTCCTGGTGTGGAGCTGTAGGATAAGCACTGGACCGCAAGGTCGGTTTGAACCTTAGAGTAGTCGGTTCAAACTCACCAGCCACTCCTCAGAAAGCCTATACAGGGTTGATGTGAGTGAGTTGGAACCAACTCTAAAGCATTTAACAACAAAGGAGCTTTAAATTTGAAAAGGATAAGCAAACCAAAAAAAACTTAACTTGGATTTGGGCTCCATTTGTCTAACTTCTGCTAGAAATCAAATTCCAGTGTTCTGCAGTAAAGGCCAGGCATCTGGATTCTTCAGACCTCCTAGTGTGGAGTCCTGGTGTGGCACTGTGGGTTAATGCGCCAGACTGCAAAGCCATTTGAACTGCAAGGTCGGTGGTTCAAGCTCACCAGCTGCTCCTC